CCCCCGCCCCCCCCCCCCCCCCCCCCCCCCCCCCCCCCCCCCCCCCCCCCCCCCCCCCCCCCCCCCCCCCCCCCCCCCCGCGGAAGTACCTACGCTAGCATAAATCTGAATCAACACATAGTATCTATGGAATATTCATTGGTCGTTTCGATTACGTCACTCTAACAAACAAAACTATTATTCTGGCAGCTCATTTGCCGGCAAACCTAAAGTGAAATAATAAAACTCGTTGACGCTGACATGTTCTGCTATCTGAAGAGTTTTTTGTTTTCCAGATGAAAGGCTTCAAACAAGATAAAAAGCGTGGAAAATAATATTAGCAAAAAAAATTATTGTTGTTGTAAAGAGAATATTTAAAATTTAACAGCGATATTTTTGTTAATAAAAAATTAGAAATCGAAAATTCATTTTGACTGTCTTTCGTAGTGATTGATCTAGTCTTTATACAATAATTAATTCATTGTCTAGAGCTTTCGACTCAATTCCAGGAGTCATTTTCAATAAAAAAAAGATATTTATATTCTTGAGTTGATCTAATTGAAGATGTTGTTGATTTCAATTTTTAAACGATATAATAACAGGTTATCAACCTCAGTAGCGACATAATTGAACTTAAAATAAGATTTTTTAATCATAGAATTTCTTTTCCAAATAAAAAAACAAATCTTATGATGTTTTCGTTTACAAAAAATGTATCAAGAAAACAAACGGACGAAGATATATATATATGCAACAATGATGAATGAACCACGGAATAGAATATCACCACTTTTGTATTCTTAGATGAAACAATACTATTCTTTCATAAAACTTCAATGATCTGCGAACATAAATTCATAGTAGTATTAACCGGCTAATTTAAATGCCCAGTGCAAATAAATCATACAAATTCGATCAAGAAAAGTTATTATTATTCAATAAAAAGTACATTTTATTTTTCTACTAAATGCAGCATTCATACTTGAGAACTAATTAGCAAACAACATATTTTTAAGATACTAAAACGAATGATTCCTTTCATCAGACAATAGTCACGTTCAATATCCCAATTTATACATTTACTAAATGATTTTTCAGCAGGTATTTTATTTAATAGTGATTATTGACCTTAGTAGTTATTTTCAGGATAAAATATGCATCGATATTATTACTTAAAAATATTTCGTCTCTCGCGAAAATAAAACGAATTTAAAATCACGTTGCTGAATGATATCTACGCTATTGGATGACAACACTTTGATAAAATACAGAAAAAAATTCGTCCTTGGTTTTATTAACGATAATAATGATTATTTACTTCGAAATGCCATATCATCATGAGAATATTCAGCAAAAAAACAGACAGGGAATAATAGATCAGCATCTGATTCAATTCTCACGCTCACGCATATCTCTCATAACAATCAATTAAAAACTTTGAAAAATAGAAATCTATCGGACAATAAATACCCTATCATTTTCGTTAGTAGACTCATTAACAACGGTAACAATGAAAGTATTGATATTTACAGCACTTCTTTGTATTCTGGGTAGGCTTATTATTGAAATAAGAAATTAATCAATAACTCAGTTCGAAAATAAAAAATAGGTTTGGCAAACTGTCAAAATTGGAATAAGAACCATTGCGGCCAACGTCCATTAGTGTCTAATGATGATATAGGAAAAGTTGTAGGTGGTTTTCAATCAGCAGTTGGCGATTGGCCATGGTCGGTAAGTGTTAATAGTCCTTCTCCTAAAGTTTCTTATGGATTATCAATCTATTGATATTAAAAGTGCTCTATGCGTAATCCAACAAGTCACATTTGCGGTGGTTCATTGATTAACAGTCAATGGATTGCTACTGCAGCACATTGTGTGTAAGTATAAAACGTCATGAATGAATAGATTGTAATTACCAGTTATTTTTTTCGCAAATGATACAGAAACAAAGCCAGTCAACCAGGTGCATACAGATGGAAATGTGGTTTAAATCACCGAAACACTCACGTGAGTCGATAGTTATGAACTATGTATTTAACCAAAACGAATTTACAGGACACATACACAAGAGAATTCGTATCAGTCCGTTTTGTTGTTCATGAAAACTATAACTCACGAATCATTCAAAATGATATTGCTGTGTTTCAAATAAGTGTTAGTAGTTCACTTTTTCTTTCTTATCAATGAAATGCTAAAAGAAAAGTCAACTCTTTAGAATACCGACATTACCTTTGATAATTACGTTATGCCAGTTTGCTACCCTGCTGCAAATACTGATTATGCAGGTCAAACTTCAATTGGTATGGGCTGGGGTACATTATTATCTGGTGGCAGTCTCGCTACTTATCACATGGAAGTTGCAATGCCTATTTTGACTAATGCTGCATGCACAAGCAAATTCGGCGGAGCATCTCAATTGAATTCAGCAACTCAAATCTGCGCTGGTGAAACCGGTTATAACAAAGATACATGTCAAGGTGATTCAGGTGGTCCATTGGTTATGCAACATGCTGATAAACTTTGGTATTTGGGTGGTTTGACATCATGGGTGAGTTATTTCTTTCATTTGTGACGAAATACAACATTGATCGTTTATGTCTAGGGTTATGGATGTGGTGATGGTGGTGTTTATACTCGACTTTCAGCGTTTCGTACCTGGGTTGAAGGTTATGTTGGAGCACTTCCAACTGGTTCCGGTTAATATCTTGTTTCCTATCAAATGTATTTTATTGAATTTCAAAACAATTCATAATTGATTGACTAAAAAATATATTTATCACCTAATTGCTGACCCACAATAAATAAATTTCAAAAATATACGTCTTCTCTAACTGTCAAGCAATTTGAAAGTGCCGTCATAAAGCTTTTGACTTAACAAAAAAAAACAAAGATGAGTAAATATTTCAATTACTAGATGGATTTACAGATGAAACGATGAGTTTGACTAAAATATGAAATAATAAATGAGGATAGAATGACCTTTTTTATGTCTGGGAATCAAACTTCGTAGAAGAGAACATCATGACTAAACGAAGGCTCAGTTACTACCCTGTCTTACTCAACGGTATAAAAAATGCCACTCGCCTTTTCAATTGCTCAGCTATCTTGTAGAGGAAGCTATTTCACAATTTTGCCATGCACCTCAAATATCGAGAAAAAAAGCAAAGATTCTTACGACACACTTGTTTACATAGTCATTTAGTATTGTGGGAATCTTTACAATTCAATGAAATATGATAGGACTTGAGTGACTGGTTTTACTCAGTTACAACGAAAACAAAATCTTTCGGGCACCGATTTCATCTAGAGTAGATTATGTTGATGGCCAAGTAATAACTCGATCGTTTATTTAGTAAAATGAAAATCTCATCACTTTTTAATCACATACGTATTTTATTCATCTTAATGTAACTATATGTATAGTTAGCAGGTATGTTTCTGAACGCTGAAGAAAATAGCAATGTATATGTTTCAGTTCTCAAGGAAATTACATGATACGTTGAAAATAAAAGAGGACCTTTCAATTGATAGGCGCAACTAGAAAGAACCTCAGTGAACTATTATGGATCGTAGAACAATATTTATTATGTTATGCAAAGCAGTACTGAAGATTAGAAATCGTTGGATGGACCACATGCACACTCCGAATCTATTTATTAGGCTTTTATAGGAGTTCGATCTTTATTTTTACAGTCGTTATGACGATCTGCGATGGATGCAGACCTGCTGAAACACAACAATTAACTGTTGTATCTTTTTAAAATTTCATGAAACTATATCAACTGCTTCCATGTTACAGTTTTATTGATTTAAGTGAGAAGTAATGACTGAGTACCAAGATTTGTCGAAAAAAACAATGTTGGTGTGACTACTAACACGAATTATATCGTTTTTCATATTTTAATCCCGCCGAGATTGCTATAGCAGCTTTTCTAGTCGTTATTAAAAAGTTGTCCCCAATATACGGAACACTTTTTTTTTTATCGTGGCTCTGTATATGAGCAAAACACACTGAATAAGTTTCTTGAACAATTCAAATCGATCTGTTTGCAAGGTACATCTAGCCTACCTATCAAAACTCACGCGCGGTGAATTTTTATTTTGTGCCACATATTTTGTATCGCTGGCATAATCAATAATATTCATATCCAGATCTAACGTCGACTGCTGGCAACTCAATAGGACTTGTATCTCAAGCCATTCTAATACTTGAAATAATTCTTTTTTTGGTACGTTGCGTTAACATCGTACTAAGTGCAATCTATTGAATAGAATCATTGAGTGTAATAAAAAAAAAAGATGCACTGCTCAGAAAGCTTCTAGATCTACTCTCATAATTGTGTGTCAAGTGTAGGACATATTTGTAATACACATACACATAGCCATCGATTGAGAACATTATAATGTAAAAAAAATTCTTGTTGCTTTTTCGTTCGTAAAAGAATGAATAAAAATGAAATGAAGTAATTGTGTGTTTTTTTTGTGTACCATAAAAAGAAAAATCAAGTGCCCTTTCTGCTATTTGTTTTTATGTTAAATATGCTATTGCCAAATTTAAAATGCACTGATAAGTAACGATGAAAAAAGTAAAACAATAATTTCGTCGCGATTTCTTTATGGATGAATTTTGGTCTTCATTTCAAGTGGAACAAAATCTTTTTCGATATTCCACAAAAATACAATAAATTCATCAATACATGAATCGGGATTTCTTTTTTTCTTTTTATAATATAGCATCCGTCTTGCTGCTTTCTCTGAAATAATTCACTGCTGCCGATCATGTTCATCATAATAATCATGAAAGAAAAAAAAAGAGAAATAGAAGACAAAAGTAAAGTAGAGGAGGCCGACGGCATTTACACTTTCGATCAGGATAGACAATAGAGAGAGAGAGAGAGAAAAAAAAGAGCAAGAATGAGTACAGATAATGAGAAAAAGATAGAAGAAAGATAAACGACACGACGTGCAGCTGCTTTTGGCTGTTGTGTGTGTGTGTATGTGTGATTTATTCTACACGTTTAATCATTGTTATTCGTTTTTGGCAAGTCTAAAACATAAAAAAAAACGAAAATAATATGAATATAAATTTTTTAGAATAATAAGTAGTTTAACGGTTGAGTATCCATCACCGACAAAAAAAGCAATAAAGAAAAAAGCGTAAAGCGCAGTCTTTGCAGTTAGTTAACAATAGTATCGTATGGCTGCTTCTCGCTACTTTTTTCTATCAGTCTTGTCCATTCGATGTGTGTGAGGCTGCTTTTGGGTTCTCGTCGAGTTCATTTCCATTATCATCTTTTCCCCCTCCTTTACCTGGCGTTGCTCCATTATTGCCAGTATTCATCATATTTGTCGAAGTCATTTGTGTAGTTGATATTTGCTGTGGTACCATCGTAGTGCCGGCGACTGTAGCCGTAGTTAAACCGGCTGTAGCGGTTGCTGCTGTTGATGATGATGCTGCATTAGCTGCTTTCTGTTTGAGCATAGTCCAATCAAATGTATAATCATATTGATGGTTTAATGTACGAAACAAAATGCGAAATAATTGACGTAAATACATATAATCAGGTGCTTCTTCAAAACGAAGACCGCGACAATAATTTAAATACATAGCGAATTCAGCTGGAAATCCCTATTAGAAAGAATAAAATTAAAAATGAGTATAGATTCTTTTTTCTTCTTGTTATTTTTCAAGTATTTTATTGTCATACTTTGCAAAGTATTTCAACAGGCGTTGACATCTTTTTTTCGGATATTTTTTCATATTTTTGTTTTTTAGTTGCTGCTTTAAGACCTTGCCATGGTAATGAACCACGATTAAAATACATTAAAACATAGCCTAAAGATTCCATATCATCACGGCGACTAGATTATAGATTTAAAAACTAAGTAAATAATATTGAATTATTTATCGAAATCTAACCTTTGCTCAATACCAAGATGGGCATTTATTGATGCATAACGAGCTGTTCCAGTTAGATTTTTATCTTCTCGATAGGGAATGTGTTGTCGAGTTCGATTGTCACGATACTTTTTTGCTAATCCAAAATCAATCAAAAATACCTAAAATTAAATTAAATAAATAAAATTTATTAATAGAAAAAAAAATCTAAATTTTTATCAACGAACTTTATTACAATGGCGACCAATGCCCATTAGAAAATTATCCGGTTTAATGCTAGATAATGATAAAGAAGGAGAAAAAAGTAAAATAAAGAAATATATTTTTTTGATAATAATTTACTCTCGATGAATGAAATTTTTGTTGTGAACAAATTCAATACGGCCAATCATCTAAATAAAAATAATAGTCTTTTTTTTTTTTTTTCGTCTATAGGAATATACTTGATCGGCAAGCATAAGCACTGTTTTCATAGTGAATCGCCGTGAACAAAAATTAAAGAGATCTTCGAGTGACGGCCCAAGTAAATCCATAACAAGAACATTATAATCTTTTTCTTGAGCATAATATCGAATATGTGGTATACCAATACCACCTTGTAAGATTTTATATAATTTTGATTCATACAATAATTGAGGATGACGAGCTTTGACTGACTCAAGTTTAATAGCGACTTCTTCGCCATTTGTTATATTTATGCCCAAATAAATATCGCCAAATGAACCTGAACCAATTTTACGTACTAAACGATATTTTCCTCCAATTAAAAATTCATTTTTAGTTGAAAGATGTATCGAGGATCCTGTTCCTGGTGCATTTGGATCCATCGTTGAAGGTATTGGATTTTATCTACTTCGTACGATGGAGTCGGAAAAAGGAGAGAAGGATCTAAATATTACAAAAATATTTTTAAAAATAAAGTGACCATGAAAAAAAAAGAACTATATTAGAAAACATACACAAAAATTTCAATTCATGATTTTAGCCATGTCTCCGGTCGATGTCCTTCGATTAGACGAAAAAAACAAAATGAACTAGCTCGTCAAGCATTTATGCATAGAGAAAAATATTTTCAAACAATGAGCGACATCTATGCAAAGAACTGAGTACGTTGACAACCAAGTATATGTTTCTACACATGGAAGCAATATGCATCTGCTATTTTAAGAAAAAACAATAATAATAATAATAACATCTGGCAAGAGATAGATAAATATATTTTTTAAGAAAGTCAAACAGTTGACATTGTTCAAACTTATCAGTTACCAGTTTGAACATTTTGAATCCTTAGAAAATTTGTCTCTTTAAATGATTTTAATAGAATTCTCATTCATCTTCAAGTTCATGGCTATACACTAGTGTTTTGAGTGACGGCCGGTTGAAAGCTGATCAAATTTGCCTATCACTTTTGACATTCGAAATCCATACTACATTTTTTCATCAGAGATTCTATTGGTCATACTAATTTTGTAGTTCAGAAACGTGAGCTATCGAACTCATGATAAATATATGAAATTTAAGCCGAAGTCAATATTTTGAACAATTAAAGATACTAAAAACAATTCAGCTATCCAAATATGTGTTGTACTTCTTAGAGAATTTCTGTGGCTAAAGAATCTCTACCAAAGTTTTTCCTAGGAGTAAACAAAAATTCCGCATGTATGGAAATGATAAAAAGAAACAAAATGGAATGATGAATGAAATCTTAAGATTGCATGACTCCACAAGTCTATCGAACGTAGAAATATTCTTTGCATTTTGCGGTAAAAATAACATCTTCAAACAACTAACTATAGTTTTCATCAAAGAGCTCATTCCTTTACGTGGACTATCTATCACGAGAAAATCCAAACTTGGGGTTGGTGTTATAGTACTTCACTACCACCATAGCATAGAGTATTTTTATTGTTGATCAATTAATAAACTCTTGCTTTGATTGGAATCGGACCATTAAATAACTACTGGAAAGTAAGTTTGATTTGAGATAAAAAAGATCGATACATATTCTGCCGCTAAATTATGCTCCCTAGAGAATAGCAATCTACCATTCGTCGGCTTACAAGCATAGTAAGTTGCCTTTAGATTCTATTAAATAGAGACAGTACATGAGAATTACGAACAAAACAAAAATGACATCGTGTGAGACATTGAAAGTGCTAGTAAAAAGACAACAAGGCTTTTGAATCCAAGAAGATAAAGAAGCTCCATCAATTAAGAGTGAATGTGAACATTACTGTTGTTGCTTAGAAAAAGCCTGATACACCATATTTGTTGACTATATAAGATTGATTGCTGATAAATTAATGAATCTCTGAACTTTGGCCGACAGTAAAAATGTCGACAGTAAAATGTCGAAAAAACGAAAAAGTAAAAATATCGAAAACTGAGTAGGTATTCATGAAAAATGTCGTGTTCAGAATTGATTCATTATTAAAAGAGGTTGTCCCTTATTCGAAGTAATGCGATTTAAATCACTATTGATGTTGCGTGTCGATTCCATGGCGGCTTCCATATGTATATTTATCACTCGAGTAATGAATAATTGAAGAATAATTTTCTTATTCTTTTCTATTACATTGTACTAAGTGACCAATGTCTGATAGACCAATGATAGATTTAAACGAACATAAGTCGCCATCGATCCTACAAGTAATGACGGATCCAGAAAATCTGTTAGGGGGTGGCGCTCGTGACCAAAAAACGGGTTTTCCAGTCTAGTTGAGACAGAACGACTATTTTCTGTTTCATTTGTGCTGGAGAAAATCGAAAAAGTTTCTTAAGGGGTTGGCGATGGCCGGGTAGCTTAACTGGTAGATCCGCCATTACCTACAATAATAACATATTCATCGAATATCTTTCAAAACACTCCTTCTTTTAGATTTTTTAATTTTATTTTTATAAATTTCTTTCGACATTTTGCACTTTCGATATTTTTAACTGTCGACATTTTTACTTTCGACATTTTACTGTCGACACTTTTACTGTCGACCAAAGTTGAGTTTACCAAATTAATGTTATTTTCGAATGCAATATCGATTTTAGATTTTCATGTGATGAATTCAATGTGTAATTAACTATGGGTTTACGTATTTCTTACAATACTCTGCAAATGTTTTAAATGTTTATGATTACCAATAAAAATCTCATGTGTTGGTAATAACGACGATTTCTCGACTATATCGAAAGCTTTCTGCGCATAGATGAGTGCTTCAATAAATCGGTCCATATCTTCAAGATTACAAGCAATATTGTGATATAGAGTAGCAAATTTCAAATGGCCTGGTGGTAATGAACTTGTACTAATCTCAAGAATACGCATGTAAATATCAAGCGCTTTTTGCGATTGGCCAAGTCTATCATAGAGTAATGCAATGTTATTATACGGTGCTAATAAATCAGGATGATTCTGAGGCATATTTTGCAGACGCATCTGTAAACATTTTTCGTAGTAATCAAGCGCTTTATCAGAGTGACCTGTTCGTTCACAGATAATACCTAGTTGATTATATCGATTGGAAATATATTCTGGATTAGGCTTTTTGTCATTAGCAGGATTCATATCGATAGCTAGAGCCCGTTCATAATTTTCTATAGCTCGATCGAATTGACCTTGTGCTATATAGATTTCTCCTAAATTTGCCAGTAGTATAGCAATTGTTTGATTATTATCGTTTGTTGCATTTTCTTCATAGAGTTTAAGTGCAAATTCATAATGTTGAAATGCATTTTTTAAATCTCCCTTTTCTCGATACATATACGCCATATTACCATGAATACTAGCGAGCATACAAGGTTGATCTTTTATGTCATCATCTTGTAATAGGAGTGTGAAAAAATAATCAGCATATGAATGTTGACTCATGTCATTCATTAGACCGGCCAGTCGAAAGAGTGGACCACGATGATGTGTTAAGTGAAGAGTCGTATCCATAAACCATTTCAAATAGGCAAGTTCTTCATCGCGATCACTTGTCAATCTTAATTTTACAAAGTAGATTCCATTTAATTCTTGTTCGATGGATATAATACGAAAGATAGTACCCATCGAGAAAAGATATTCTTGCTCATCAGTAAAATGAGTTATATTACTAATATCAGCGAAAACATTGTTTCCTATATTATCAACTTTGACATCTATTTGCAGAAATACTGCTAATGTATCCGTAGCCGAAAGCATCGTCTCGGCGTACATATGAGCGACGTCAAAATCTGTGCTAGTCGATAGGAATGCATTGAACGATAATAAACCACCGATACTATGTTGTAATTTTTCGAATTCTTCTCTTTGCATTCCTTGACCACGATAGAGAAATGAAAGTGATTGCTCGTGTTGATGATTTTGATTGTAGAGTCGCTTGAGTTCTTCGTGTAGTTGTCTAATATAGTAACGTAAATGATAGAGTTTATCTATTTCTTGCAATCGTAAGGCTCTATTAAGCATTCGATAGAGAAAATGTTCGGCGGTGTAAAAGTATATGGGTGATCGATTTTCAGAATTATTTTCAAACTCATTGATAAATGCCATTTCCGATAAACTATCACAATAGAGTCCACGGCAAAATTCAATCATTTCTAATTTAGACGCAGAGGCCAACTCAAATTCTAATAGAAGTTCTTTGATTAATTGAGCATACATAAAAGATGCATCTTGTTTATTGAGTGATGTGTTGGCTCTTGCCGTTTCGATAGAAGTCATATTCATAGTCTGAAAGCTGATCAGTTGACTGTTCAAACGATTGGCTACCACATGGGCAAGATGATCCTTGAAGGATTTCATTTCTGTTAGCATACATTGAATTTTTTTGTGGTTACCATATAGTTGTTCGAGTTCATTACGCATAGAGTTTTCTTTGAATAAAATATAAATGGTAGATAGTTGAGCAAAAGGTTCAGCAGTCCATATGGCGGCTTCATGATCCGTTACGCTTTTAATATTCACAATAAGAATAATCTTTTGATTAGTTTTGAATTCTGAGATAAAATCGATGCATTCATTCGAATCAACAAAAACTCGAATATCATGTAAAATACGATTCAATTCATTGATCACATGATTGTTGTCGTCTGCATTTCCCAGCCAGACAAGAACGAAATCTTCAACCGGTCTCCTGCGTTGTAGCTCAAAACGAGACACACGCGATGTATTTGAATTTGTCAACATACGAGTATCGAATTGTTTGAAACTGAAAAATAAATATGGTGCGATGACCAATCTACTTCCTTCTCTTATTCTTGACGAACAACAACATGCGTTAGTCACCACAAACACTCAAAACAATCGTGCCACGTGTCTTGTTTCTGATTTTGCGCGAGTTTCTCGCTATATTATTTTTTCTCTCTCTCTCTCTCGTCTTTATCGTTGTTTCTTTGTTGCGTTTGAAATTGAGTTAATGATGTTGGGTGCGTCTCGTCAGTTGATACATTTTTTTCTCTCTCTGGGAGTGTGAAAATTATTACAAGACCTCAAAGATAGACAATACGTTATCTGATTCTATCTAAAATATCAACTATTAAAAGAATCATTATTCGTTTTTAATCTTAATAATTGTGTGATACTAACACTGCCGAATTAATTAAAACATTGCAACCCGACATGGCGGTAAAGCGAAAAAAACATATTCTGTAAACGCACCAGAACAAAAGTATCGATACGAAACTTTAAAGAATCGACATCGTGCTGGAAAAGAGAGAATGTGCTGATTCAACTTTGAAAGATTTCATGGTATTCAACGAGAAGAGATTTTTATTTTTCAATCTGATTTATTCTATGATCATTAATAACTCAGATGAGTTAGTTGTTGATGTGTCGTTATCGTCATGCAATGAAATATGAGATATACGATGAGAATTTAGAAGAAAAAATTAATTTGAGAGATATGTTTGATACTACAGTCATGCACAGCGATTGAATAGATTATGTGAGAATGATGTTGTTGTTAGTAAAAACGTAGGAGGTCAAATTCACATAAGATCATTAATCATTAATCAGCGTTTGATCAGGATAACTGGCTTGAGATTTTGAAGAAAATTTAGTAATTTGATATATTGTCTCTAAGATCAATCCAGGTCGAACATTACGGTGACCTGATACGATCGTAAACGGCCGTATACGGCAACGTTTACTACCGTTTTATAACGTTTTCGACCGTAAATCGCCGTAATTCGACGTTTTGGCATGCACCGTATTACGGCCGTATTTCGCCGTGTCGTAAACGGTTACTAACGGCCGTAATGTGGTCGGATATTGCAGTATCCGACCGTATACGATCGTATATGACACGAAGCCAAACGACCGTGATACGGTGCATACCAAACGGCCGTGTACGACACAAGTTGATCGACCTGGGAACTGAAGCATCCAATAATTAGAAGATATGGGCAATTTAATTGTAATGCCCGGTTTCTGTATTAAGAAGTAGAGTAGTATGCATCTTGTTAAATTGTAGCTAGTGAAATAATATCGATGTTGACTGTACAATAGGAATTGCTATTGTGGCTCATAACCCTTGAAAAATGCAAACTTAATGAAGTTGATGGGCTTGTTATTGAAGCATAAACATTCTATGATACTGTGTGTCATCGAGTGTGCTATTGATCAGAATAGCAGCCATGAACTCTGGTTATAATTCGTTGAGCAGCTTTTAAAGTTAAAAGCTTATATTGAATAATAAGTTAACCAATCAAATCTACTCAGACTTGCAACATCTTTTAAAATGTCTATATCCATCAAACTTATAAATATATGGCCCGTGACTCGTTCTATAGAGAAAGATGAATCAATATAACGTCGAGATGGTTGCAATATAAACACAATACATACCAGAATATGGCTGTACAATTCGTAGATTTATGAAACCATAGATCTTCTCCCTGAAGTCAATGAAATAAAAATGATGAAATAAGAACAAAGAGCACGAAAAATGACCAAATAAAATAGAGCGATAAAAACACTACAATCGAAGCAAAATAAGGATGCTGATACTTCAGCTGTACGCTATAATTTCGATGATATCGGAACAGGATTGATTCTGAATTCGGAACAAATTTTCATTACTTTATTCGTTGAACTATGTAGATAAACACTTTTCTAAGTCTTTCTCTCTCTCTCTCTCTCTAATTATCTTATACTGTTTGACATTTGATTTATTATTTTTTCAATAAACAAATAAAATCATCAAAAACGATCGGCTATAAAAATAAAAACTTTATTTCTTGTGAAACTCATATGTTTAAACTTTGGTAGTCGTTGTTACTGTTGATACTGTCGTTGTTATCGAAGAATCTATCAATGAAAACAAGTCAATAGAAATTTCCTGTCTAAACGTAAGCAGTTACTTTGCATGAATATTAATGGTATTACAACACCAAGAACAATACCAATCAAAATCAATAGAACAAGGAGTGTAATCAGACTAATTAATAATTTTCGATTGCGTACAGTGCTGTTTATTGCTTCTAAACTAAATAAAGTATAGACCTATATATATTTCAAACAGATTAAAAAAAAACAGTATATAAGTTACGTGTGGCTATCTGGATCTTTTACTTCTGGTTCAGGCGATTTTAAATCAATACTACTAACGATAGAAGCGGATGACCATGAACTTCGTGCCGATCCCATTCTTGAATCGGCTGATGAAGGAACTACGCGATTGTGATTGATAGCTCTTGTTATAAGCATAAAAAATCTCGAATCAGCAACCATGTGCAATGGATTAAATGCGCGTGACATAATGAGAGATATTAATAAGTTTTCAGCTGAAATAATCCAATTAAAATGGTTCAAATGTGACTATGTGTTGTAAAGAAACTTTTGTTAAATATAAATTTTTCTATAAGAATTACATGTCATAGCTTTAAATGACAAACACACTGCGATAGATTTCATGTTCAAATAAACAGGTATTTATTTGGATACATGTAAAAATCAATTTATTTCAATAATTTATTCGTAGAATAATAGAGGGAAGAAAAATAACATGATTATAATGTCGATAACAAAAGAAACTTGAGTGTAAAGAAAAACTTTCTAAAGAAGCAAAAAGTAATCAAAATGTGATTACTTTAGTTTTTTTGTTTTTATAATAATGTAATCAGATGATGTTAAAGAATATCCTCAAGTATGCATGAAAAGTTAATAATCTTCTTCTTCATCGATGGATTTTTCAATTCAATCGAAGAGAACTTGAAACTAGTGAGAGTTCATAAGCTACTCACTTTTTATCGAAGAAAATATAGACAAAACTTTACAATGATTGAAAATAATTGTGAACTCACCCCTGTAATTTCTGTCCAGCAGAAGAATTCTTACATCAACTATTCCGAAAAAGAAATTATCAATACTCGTAAAGTTAACACCTTGGAAGTATTGAAAAACAAGTTCAAATATTTTGCTACTAGAGCTCTGCAGTATAACGGAAACAGTAGTTGACGTCCGATGTTTGATAATCTGGGGGATAGGAATGTGAATATGTTTGTCTTTCGTTTGCTAATCTTTGAAATAAAATAAAAAGAAAAGAAAGGCCTCTTTCGACCCGAAAAAAAGCTCGCAACACACACTTTTTCGGGCAGAATAAATAATGTTTGATTATTATCAGACTTTGTTCTTTGTGAAGTTTATTTAATTTTCGAGACATGAATATATCTATTGTTTTTCTCGTAGAAATGCAGTTCAAGGTTTCGAGTCACATTAAAGGCTTGAGCTCTAAGCTTCTAATGAAATTCAAGAGTTCGATTGGTAATTTTTTATTTTTTTTAAAACAAAAAAATATAATTCCAGATCGATCCCTAGTGAACCCTGTGGGACAAAATTCGGTACTCGATCGAGTCCGTGTACGTTATAATCTAGTTATTCATTGATAAGTAGAATATAATTATAATAAAAACATTATGAAAATTGCCTTGAGAACGGTACAAAATGTATTTATGTTGAAATCAGAAATGATTATCTTAAATATATATCATCTAGTGAGAATTAGTGATAATGAATATTGTTCTTTTCTATTTAATGAATCTTAATGAATTAATTTTTTATTGTATTAGAAAAAAGAAACACCAAGAGAAGAAAAGAAAAAAAAATTAAAATTGCTGTAAATTATATTTATTTAAAAGGCCAAGTACTTCTGTTGGTAATTGTTCTTGACTGGTCGTTAAAATTCGTTTGCCTGTTTGACTGTCGATTATTTCTGTTAATAACGCATTTTGTTGTTGTGTTGGAGGTCGTACTTGAAAGTGATTATTAAATGCAACTGGTCGCCGATGATTTTGAGCTTGATGGTTACTATGTAAACTATGAAGTGACGGTGATGGCGATGGAGGATGAGACCAAGTCGATGGTGCATGTAATTCATGAACTGATTGATGTCGTGATAAGGGCGTATTCATCGATGGTAATCGTGCTCGAGTATTAGGTGTAAATGTTGATAGTTGAGGTTGAAATTCCTGATGTTGTTGAGATCGAGATCGATTTAATTGATTTTGTGAATGAAAAGATTGCTGAGCTACTCGAGATGTTGATGGCGACCGGTGATGGAGATTATCGATTGATTGTGCCCGATCGTTAACAGTTACAGGTATAAGACGATCAGGCATTTTTTCATAATGAACAAGTGTTTCAGTAACAAAATATTTCTTTTTTACAGCTTGCTTACCATCACCACGCACGCTAATATTCGATTGATGATGCTGCTGTTGTTGTTGTTGATACTGATTTTGTTGCTGTTGAAATTGTCCTTGATCATATTGTTGTTGCTGCTGAAATTGTCCCTGATTATATTTTTGATCGAATTGCTGTTGTTGTTGACGATAGTTTTTTAATGTTTCTAAGTATTTGGCAGATTCAATTTCAGTACGTTTATCCCGCGATAAAAACCAGCGTAATGTTTGATCGGTATATGATCGTGCCGGATAGTGTGGTGCAAGAACTTGTTGGGCTGTTTGACGAATTTCTTGTTGGGTCAATGGAGGTATCACTGTTCGATAGGGATCATTAACAATAACATGTGGAAGCGATGAACCAAGTGGACGACCTTCACGAGCTTCACGGTCAAGAATATAAAGTATATTCCAATATTTCAATGAATACGGTAAATTGGCATACATAACACCTTGATATTCATAGGTTGTCTTTTCTTCGATTCTAATTGTTTCTCCTGGTATGCGTACGTAACGAATTCTTGAACGTGGCCCATCTTCTTGTAAATAATCTGTAGAATATGAACGACGTAGAGTATTCGCAGCAGATTCATTAATAAAATCATCAACGCGAACAAATAATTCCTGTTCTTTAGCTTGTTGCTGTTGTTGTTGTTGTTGCTGTTGTTCTTGTTGCTGTGTATCATAGAAATCCTTAACGTGAATAATACGCGCACGAACATAACGTTGTCCACCTGAATAAGATATGGATAGAGATCGACGTGCTGGTTCATGTTTATAACGTGGTGGAGCATGTTCATGTGGACGGATTGATTCACGCATTGAATGAATTTCCTTTTCAATTAATGCACGACGTCCTGCACCTAGTTAAACACAAGCAAAACAAAAAAGATGAAATTTTATTCGAAATAACTCTACCTAGATAGAATTCGGCTTCTGATGTTTGTCGTGTTGGTGTTTGAACATTTTGTATTTTTCGATAATGTTGATCAAGTATACGCTGTTGTTGTTCGATCTCACGGCGGTATTTAGCATAATCAAATGGTTGCTGAGGAACCTGATGAACTTCCTGTTTATATGCTTCTTGATGTCCTTGTTGAGTATCATATTTAGACATTGTATTTGATGTTTGCGCTGCCAAATCCAATAAATAATATTCATTTCGTGCAACTAATACTAAATAACGTTGCTGTTCAGCTTGAGTTGTTAGACGAAGATGTGAACGATACATTTGACAAAGGCGATGAATAACAGTACGATGACGTTGCACGATGCGTAACGATGTTGAAACATCAACACGTGAAACATGACGTAAATCAGTTGAGTTTGTTTGATTATAATCATCACGCGATGAATAATCCACAAGATGTAATAAAGATATGGGTTCAGATAATCTTCGAGATATTTCTTTTTCCAATTCAGGGCTTTTAGGTGCTAAACGGCCACTGGTACTTACGATAGTTTCATCAACAGTTTCTTTTTTTATTGAAACATTCAGTTGACGACGTTCAGCATCCGTGATAGATAATAGAATTAATTGTGCACTACCTATAAATAATTAAAGATTTGATGTTTTTTTGACCTATTGTAAAAATTTCTTAACAGCTAGATGAATATTTTTGCTCATGATTTCATTAACAAAATATTTTTCCTTTCTAGCCTAAAAACTTCAAAAGTGACTACAATCAATAGCTTCAAGTTAAATTTCTCATACACACTGTTAGGAAATCGCAGCGATGAGCATAAGTCATAGATAGAATCTGTCTTATTTGCAACTTTGATTCATCTACAAGAGATATACGCACCTAGAATCGCTCTGCTTAGATTTTTAATGCTACGAAAATGGAATTCTTCACAAATGTGAAAACCAAAAATTTACCATATTGGGTTTTCTGCTCTCGTCAAAGATTCTAGAGTAGATTTTCTTAAATCTTTCGCTTAACGAAAAGATCTAACTAACATAATATTGAATGTAAGTAAATATTTCATTCACATACCATAATGGTTAAGTTCATATTCAATTTCACAACGAATAAACAATGGCAAATGTTCAAGATTTCTCATTTGTTCGGTTCTAACTCGATTTCCATCTTTAGTATAATAATGTATTGTTATAGCAGGCTTTCTTGATGGATCATGTACGCTATCATCATCATCAGTATACATATTTGAACCATAGTCACGTCGAACTAATTCATAATGTTCTTTTGATGATGTAACAATAACATGTAATTCTGTTGCTCGTAATTCTTCTTCTGTGTACGTACGTTCAATACGTTGAAGCTGTTTCTCAAAACGAGTTTGAGGACCATATTGAATTTTTTCTTCATACGACACAACAAGACATTTACATGCACCGCGTGTATGAATTTCATAAACTTCCGATGAATAATATTCATCTTTATCATAATCATTTTGTTCAATAGGACGACGAACAACATTTCGATTGGGATCATGTATTGGGTCTTGACGTAATTGTGTTGTAGTTTCTTCATATGATGAGCGTTGTTCAGCAACATCTTTTATTTGTTTATCAGTCGTTTGAAAGTTGTCATGATTATCAGTATAAACAATAGTCGTCGTGCCACCATTATCTTCATCTTCACTTGTATGATGACTTGAATGACGGCGTTTTACTTCATATTTTTTTGTTGTTGTTGTTGTTGTTTTTATTTTTCTTATGACTTCACTTCCTTTCTCGATGTCGTCATCATCATCATCATCATCATTATCAATAATTACCGATGGTAAGCATTGCCGTTCTTTTGGTGGTCGGTGCAATGAATCTGAGGTTTGAGCACCAACTGTATTTTGTACAATAGTTGAATCAACTTGTGTACCGATGGGTCGATTCGATGGTTTTATAACTACTATTGGTATTGTTGTTTGTGAACCAAAATCCTGTCGATCTTTAGGACGATTATATTCATAATCAGGCACATGATTTTTTGCGTTTGATGTTACAGATTTTTTCTCTGATTTTTGTTCTAATATATACAATGTTTCAACATCAACTTTAAGTGGGACATTATCCTGATTGGAATGTGAGAGACTTGAATCATCGTCATAGAAACGAGCACGAACATCTCGAACCATTGAAATAGATGTTTCAGTACCCGGAAGAAGAGAAGTTACAAAATCGTCCATCTAAGCAAAAGAAAATAGCAATAGAAAACTTTTCGAAGTTGCAATGGTCGACTCATTTTTCTCTAAATCATACCCACAGTTATTGCGAATATGGAGTCGGAATCTTCTAAATTTTAGATAATAACTTACATTTATTCCGCTAGTCGCTCGACGTGCTGAATTTCTAATTTGATCCCGATCAAGTTCAAATTTGGTTACATTTGAATGGCTATCTCGAACATAAATTTCTTCGCGTGGGCTTTTATGACGAAAGACAAAGCCGCCATCGTCATTATTTCCATTTGTTGTTAAACAATATTCTTGGTTTTCTGTTCGTGCTACTCGTTTAACATTTGGCAATGGTGTAGAACCAGTTGGACCAATGATTTGCTCGTCATCAAACGGTTTCGGTGTTGAAATTTTCTTTGTTACTTTTGTATCTGTTGCTGATGATTCAAGACGATTGACCATTTGTCGTACACGACGTTGTTCTGCTGTTGTTGACATTGGTGATACGTGTCGTTTCGTTGGTGTACGATCATCAATAAATATTTCACTATGTAAACCTTGAAAAAACAACGAAGCAGCTCATTATAATAAATAAAAAGAATATCTATAAAAAAAAAATGTATCTCGAACTAACGTTCAGAAGGTTGATGTCGATTTATACGAGGTGGTGATGAACTTCGTACTCGATCTCCAGTATGAAACGAATCCGATCTTGTATCAATATTTTCTGCCATTTGTTTAACTTTTGATTTGTTATTTGAATTAGTAACAGGTGATGTTGAAGGATTTGCGTCTAGTTTTTCTCGCGATTGATGTCGATTGGAAGATTGTCCTTCTTCTTCTAAACTATCTTTTGAATCAAGTCTAGCGCGTCGTTCTCTTTCACGCCAAATGTCAAATACATTAGAGTTATTTTCATTACTAGGTTTTACTATACGTTGTGGTAAACGATCTTGAATAAATTGTAGTGCATGAGATTTCGTTCGTAATACACGATGAAGTTTAAGGCGATTAATAATTTTTTGTAATTGTTCTTCGGAACTATTTTCTAAATGTTGTAAACGTATTAATTCATCAATTAAATATTGAACATTTTCAAAGTCCCGTCGATCAAATGACTGTTTATTCGTTAAACGACGTAAACGACCTAGAGTACGGATTGTTTCATTATCAATTGGACGAAAACCTAATCGACGAGCTACACTTTCATCAGTTTCGTTTTCATCGTCGTCATCTTCATTGTCTTCGCTGCCGTCATCATCATTAGGTCTATAAAAGTCAAATTTTATGATTTTTCGTATATGAATGGGGACAAAAAGCATCTAGAACTTCTGAGAAAATTTCTTGAACATTAACGACTATCATTTGTTTTCGAAACATTTTAGTATTTCTATTATTCTTTTCGCTTAGCTCCTCATACAATTTGAAGCATCCTGTATATTTATGGCCATATGTAACCTACCACAGTTTTTCATTAAGAGTTACTACAAAAAAACACTTATTGTTGTGTCAGATGTATGTATTACAGCTATAAAGTCAAATTTGATTAATAATTACATAGACTTGCACCGTTCTAGTTCCAACATTAGAGAACTTCTGATTTACTCGCCGAGATCTATTTACACTGTAAAATCTGATACTCTGCAATGAGATCCTTGATGAAAGTATCATCGAAGGGTTAGTTCTCTTTAGGAAGAGTTACAATTCAGATATAGAACAATCGAAATTAGCATTAAACTGTTGCTGTCTCGTAAGTACAAGTGTTGAATTTTTGATATTTGAGAAAAAGTTCTCTTTAGATGCGTCGACAATAATTGAAAACCCCACTTGAGCTGTTTTTTCTACTCACTTTCTGCCATTATTATTATTTCGATTTGGATTTGATCCATTTCTATCAGCATTTCCATCACTACCACTTCCTGAAGATTCGTTTGTTCGTTGGTTTCTTCGAGATGAGCCATCACTATTATTATTACTATGAGTATTTCCATTATTTCGTCTCAAATAACCATTATTATTTCTATCTCTATCTCCATCTCTACCATCCATATCCATTTCAGGTTCAATTGTTTGTGAATGTTGATTTATCTTAAATGTATTTGGATCTTTTGGCAATTGCGTTGAAAATACACCATAGCGAACAGCTCTTTCTGGTTGACCATTATTTACTTGTAATTGTACATCATAGTGATTGAGCGATAAATCTGTTTGACTTGAAATACTAAGATTTTCATCTTCCTCAATTTCGGTGTGATTTTTATTAGCTATCGAATACGTTCTTTGATCAATTGAGTCTTCATTATCGTCAGCAATTGATGTTTTTTCGACACGAGTATTATTATTATTTGTATTCATCCATTTATGAGAGCCGACGACAACATGAAGATTTTGAACAGTTGGTTCATTTTGTTCAAGTGAATCCATTGAGGATGAACGTTGAATAATCTAAACAGAAAGTTTAGTTCGATCGTATTCAAAAACTAATCAAAATCAATTCACTGTTAAATCTATTTCATTGTTCTCTGCACGTTCATTATCCATTTTTATTGAAGATAAGTAATTCTAAAACAAACAAAAAAATGTATATATTAGTAATTCGTTATCATGTGAAAAGGGTTACATCTATCATCTAGTAGATTTTTTTTCTTTTCTATTCATAATCGAAGATCAAACTTACGTAGTTCTTATTGATAAAATCTTTAGGTGCCATTGAGAGTAATATCGCAAAGAGAAGTCAACAAAAAATATTATCTACGTGTTTTATTGGCTCATGATAATTTTAACCAATAAATATGGTAATAAAAAATAGCATGTATATATATATATATATATATATATACATGCATGCAACAAGTAAAGACATGTCACGGACGAATGAGCTAGGGTAAAAGATAAAGAATGAATGTAGGGTGAAAATATTATATGCACAGTTTTATTTTATAAATGGTGTGCAAGGACAATGGCGGGCGAAGGCTCATTTGTTAACAAGGAAACTATTGTGGATTGCTAAAAACCGGTTCTTTTTGAAGACATAAAGCTACTCATAAATCATATAAACCGATCTTATACATTAAGAAGAAGCCTTTCGTTTCAGATTTACAGTATTATATCGTAACAGATTCACTACTTTGATGTATTTTCTACTTCTCACACTCTGTATAACTCTGACTACTGATCAAACATACAAATCTAGGGTAAGAAAATATTCGATTTCTTTTGTCATACCATGAGACGATTAAATTTTCTGGAAGTCAACATGCGATAAAACCATTTTTTTTGTAGAATCAATCGTGGCAATTATTAGTATGGATAAGTAGGATTACAGAATCAAAGAGAAGAAATTCTAATGATGCTTTTTAACAAAAGAGAATCCCTAAATATTAACATTTGAAAAAAACCCATACGTTTATTATTGACGAATTCTTCTAGATGAATTAACGCTATATTGAAAATTGCATGTTTACAAAAATGAACGCGATGAGATTTTCGATAAAGTACACATAAGCATTAATAAACTAGGCTTTGAGTTAGAACTATTTGGATTTTATAGAACCCTGAAAATTGTGCATACTACGAAATAAGTTGGACTCTGATGGTATATTAAGGCTTTTGATTAGCATAAAATCTATCACTTTTTTCTCAAACAATCCAAAGGACGATTGATCAGTTAGAAAACGTCTCCGGCAAGACAAGGGTGTATAAACGCAAAACTAAATAATAGTTTTTCATTCGACTAACTGGCTACATAATTATAGGAACAATTCTAATATCAAAATTCATGCTTTTTAATGAATATTATAATTCAAAATTAATTTTTATATCTTTCCTACTCGATGAAAACTATCGACTACATAAATGAATGCATCTAAACAAAAGCAGTCTTAACTGTTGAAAAAAGAAAAGATTTCACGTTTCATTTTAAAATTCATCCATTAAAATTTTTTCGTTTTATTCATAACAATGATACTTACCACTTGTGTGTCGATTGCATTCAATGTTCTGTCATATGAGCCAAACCTTTTCTTCTCTCCCTACCGTCTTCATTGTTCTGCCTGGTTGAACACCTATTTTTTTCTTCTCACTTTCTCCAAGCAATAATCATCGTTCAAAAATGTATGAATGGTGTTCAATGCGAAAATGATCTATCATCGACGAGAGAAAAAAAAAGACGATAGAATAGGGAGCACAGCAATCATCTTGTCCGACCATACCTAAATTGAAATATCCACTGGGTGATTCGAGGGCATACAAGCGCATCCCTATACTCCGTTGTGCAATGACGAGACATGCTTTCACACGTCTCCTGACCATACTATAACTCACTATAATAGTCTATATATATATATTTTCTTTTTGATCCAAATGATAGCATATACATAATTCAATATAAAAAGACCAATGATTCATATATAGATTGCGAGCATCTTGTCGATTTCATCTATATAAAAAAAAGAAATCATACTAAGCTGATTTATAAAGACAAAAGTTAAAATCTAAAGTGAAATCGAGTAGATTGTACCCATAATTAGATTTCGATGTAATATTTTATTTTAATGTGGATTTTTCTTTTCGATTGACAAATCTCTTGATCATTGTGAATGATTTTATCGCAAGTGCATGGTTTTCATCGTTATCGCTTTTCGTCAATTATAAAAACTAATTACAACGGTAATTATCATAAAAAGAAAAGAACTTGACATTTTTAACATGCAAGAAAACCCATTGACAGTCTGTATATCTGATATCGATCAAAATAGATTGAAGCTGAAATTTCTATCTCTATTTTAATTATCTTATTAACGAGTCATCCATGACATTTGCGAAATTTTCATCGAAATTAGCGATACATTTATGACAGTTATGTCTCAGCTTCGCTCATTCAATTGATTTTTACTATCAATTAGAAATTTTGCAAGGTAGAATTAGACTTTCTGTCTATGAAATACTAAATTTTTGTAATTAAGACCTTAGTCTTAATGAAATTTCGTAATTGAAAAGTACTATGGAAATTATTTTGATTATTAATATTCAAATGGCCAACATACTGTACCGATTTCACAGGGCATGTCAATAGTGATCTTCTGAACTTCAAGTTTTAATTGACGTTTTTCTTTGATGAAATATGATCTAAGACGAGTGTTGCAGTATATACCGGTAACAATGTAAACCCGGCAGATTGTTTATTAACGGCGTCCTGTTAAAAATTGACAAAAATTAATTCCTCATTAGATTTTTGGACGATTAACTAAAAAAGAATAGTGAAAAAAGAGATATTTCTATGTGTCTGGCAACACCAATTAGACCTTGTTTTATGTGTTCGTTCACATAGATATAGCGCATACGAGGACAGACACTAGTCCAGGTGTCGATTTTATCCCGGATAAGATAATTTGACCGATTTTTTCCTTTCAATCATTTATGAAGGGAAAAAATTAATCATCATTTTTTGTTAACTTATTGAACTGTTCTGTTTATATAAAATCATGTCATTAGATCTATGAATAGACGATATCTATCTATAGCATGGAACACATAGATCATTAAAAAATGATTTATTTCATACGAATTTATTCAACTTATATTGTGGATGGTTGATCAATGTAGTTGATAGTTAAAAGAAATGAATATAAAATACATCTGAATAACTCTTTAAAGAAGTCATTAACAAAATAACATAAACATATACTCTGATTCGACGAAGATAAGAAAATCTTCTCAATGTATGAAATAAAATTTTATTTTCTAGAATCTCTCGAAAAACTATAAACGATCACATGGATAATCTTCAATTTAATATTTCTCTTCATTCGATAGATCATTTCCTTTATGTAAAATTCGATTTCAATAAAAGACATCGAGAACCATCTATTATTTTCACAACAAAGAGCTTAAGAATGAGTCCATACGACCTTAAAACAAATTTTCAAATCTTATGATGACAACTCTTTGCTAGAATTGTGTATCTACTATGTATCCTAGTGAGGTGATCAGAAAATATAAACCGCATTTTTTTAAAATTTATTATTCCAATGCCAATCGACTCGGAAAAGCAACTCTATTTATCCTGTAGTTGTCGTGCCAGTTGTATTAATAATCATCAGATGTTAATTTCAATATATTTTCACCGATGATTCAAATCAATATCAAAAATAACTATCACCATTATAACTATTTCGGGATCTCTAATATAGATAATTTACTAGCAACAAGAGTTAAACATCAAAATGATAATGCTTTTATCTATCCCCATCGAAATAAAGTGTTCACAAAACAATTTTGCACACAATTATGAACGGTGACAATAAATAGTTGCTTCTTTTCCATCTATATATTCTTTTTTCTCTTCACTCTCTCTCCCGTCGTTGTGCTGCGCTCGTCGTTCAATGAAAAAGAATGAGAAGGAAAATCATCGACTCGACTGCTGCTATTGCTTGCTTGCCCTTAAGCACTTCTGTCTACAGCGCACACAATGAACGTTGCCCGTTGTACGTTCGTATATGTGTAGCAAGCAAGTTAAGAAGAATTTTTTCCTTCTCTCTCCCTTTGTCTCTTTAACGTCAGGAAGAGAATAAAATGTCTGTCTGTGTGCCCTGCTTGCTTACTCTCACATACAACGACCGACGACGATAGAGAAGTAAGCAACTCGCTCGCTATTTCTCTCTGCACATTCAACTCAAACTAACTGACATACACGTATAAAATATACGACATCTACTTACAAAATAAGTATGTACATCGAATAATTTTATTGAAATATAAGAAAAATTTATATTTCTCTCTCTCTCTCTCTTTCTCTCTCACAGGAATGCCACGAGCTCCAAAATCACAAAAAGACCCCAATGCACCAAAACGTCCATTGTCGACATTTTTCTTATTTTCACAAGATGAACGACCAAAAATTAAAAAAGACAATCCATCTTTGTCTGTTTCAGACATAGCTAAAGTTATTGGTGAACGATGGCGTGGAATTGGTGACGAAAAAAAACGTCACTACGAAGAAAGAGCTCGTCAAGAAAAGGAACGATATGATCGAGAAATTGCCGTATACAAACAAGGAAAATAGAAGATTTCTGTTTTTTTGTGTGTCTACATACCTATGTATATACTATGATCAATGTAGTTAGAATATAAAAATTTAACAAAACGTTGTTGTTTTTTTGATTTGTTCTTTACTGTACTCTTTTGTTTGTATATGTTGTGTTCAGAAATTAAAAAGATTAAAATTAAAAAAATATAGATATGTTATCATTGAAAAACAGATTAGCTTCTAGGAATTCGTACTAAGTCGTGCGTAACTAATTGCTTTAGGTAGGAACTAATAATCGGATAAGGAAACAATATTATTCGTCGATCATTTGTCTTTCAAAATGAGGATGTCAGTGACTGTTTGAAATTTCGATATACATGTATGATTGTTGAATACTTGATTCGTTTCGGTTGAGAAATTGATGCGAACTACGGAAATCTGTTGTAAAAGTGTTACAATTGAGATTCGATGTACATAGAAACTAATGAGAAGAAAATATCAGTGATATTTAAGTGTCACGAAATGCCATTTAGAACATATTTTTAACTTCTTCATAGGTGGCGGAACGTTTCTAATTTAGGTGAGGCTCAAATTTGTTTTTGAAAACAACGACAGAAAGTCGGCATTAGAGGGAGAAAGCAGAGTTTTAAATTTCTTGGTTATAACTTTCATTCAAAACATTTTCTTCACTGATCCATTTGCACACCTTCAGAGCAATCGAGAATTTTACTACACTATCAAAATTTTTATTGCATAATCAGTATAATCATACAAAATCTTAAACCTTGACTTAAGCAAATAAAAAGGTCGTAAGTACAAAAACTATTATTCATGCCTAAAAAAGGCATTTCTACTCTAACTTTTTGCAATAAAATCAGAACAAATGCTGTTCAAGTCTAAGCGGTATAATTTTTCTTTATGAATATGAAGAATAAGAACATGATTAAAGCGTTACTGTGCCATTGTTGATCGTAGTCCCCTTCATCATCATAAAGGAGGCGGTAGCATTAATAAGTTAATAAGCGAAAATACTTCAAAAACATGCAACATACACATCCTCAGGCTGAACATTACTTCGGAGGAGAAATAGAATCGCTTTTCTGACCACTTTCACTTACCAAATATAGAGTTACGATGAAACCAGGATTTGTTTTCAAATAACTGAGCCTCCCCTAGCCTAAGGGCTCCGCCGCCCTGTGAACTTCTTATTGTTGCATGTATATATGAGCATTAAAATCTTATTAGATTTTAAGTAAGTGTGATATTACAAGTTTATCCTAGGAAAAAAGATTCCAGAAATTATTTGTAGTAGTTGGTTGATTTTGACCTACTATTGAAATATCAGTCATTTAGAATTATTTAGTTCTTTGTTTGCCAGATACATCATCACCCATTCGTCGACGAAAAAGAATAACAATTACAAATTTAACAAATTTATCTATTAATGAAGATTCATGGAAAATACTTAGAAAATTTTTAACAATAAATAGGCTGTGGGCTGATCTCTTCTCATTATCCACCCACAGCACACACCCACACCCGATATTCTTTGTTAAAAACGTTAAACAGGATTTTGTGATCGTGCTGAGAATTTTACTTATAGAGAACAACCGAACAAATAGTTTACTTTGTTGATTTTAAGTGGATCACTCAAATATTATGCTCCTCGATCTCCGATTTGGTTGTGCTGCAAACCAAGAGCGGTTAATACCTACATTAAATCATTAAATGGAGACAAAAGGTTACTGAATTTTTATTCTGCCATTGTTCAGGATAAACATGTGGATGCTGAGAATATTAATGTAGCTGAAGATCCTGCTCACTATTCTCTGACATTCTTTAAAGATAAATTTAGAGACCGTTTCCTCGTCATATATTTGCACCTTGAACTCATCTAAAATTGAATATTCTATTCTTAATTTAATTTAAGAGTGTTTTCTAGAAAGAAGGAAAGAAACTTAATAAACTATATATACTACCTTCAGAAATGTTCTCCTCTTATATGCCATGAAAAGTGTCTAAATAGTACAAATAAACAATGATATCTCTTACCCTGTTAGTTTTTAATTGATCAGCCAAAATTTCCATATCTTCATCCCCTAGCTTGGGGTTACGATTACTCAGATCGAGACTTGCAGCATTGGGGTTGTCAGTAAAACGTTTAACAAGTTGAGGATTTTTGTATGGTTCTTTATTCAGTTTCCGTATTTGTTCTTCCATTCCATAAACTGTTTGCAGTGGAATATATGATTTGATAATGTGAATAAGATGAGAAAAGCATAAAAATATCATTAGTTAAAACGATTTGTTCATGTAAAATGAAGTGAGAAGTTCAAAAAGTGATTTTTTTTTCATATTATTTTCTCTCCAAGATCTTGACAATACAATTTAGACAATTCCTCATTTATTAGGTTTTTAGGAGAAATTCAAAACTTTTAGTAAAAATTTTCCCGGACAAAGCATGAAGTTGTAGAATCCCTACACAGTCTTTCACCAAATCAAATTTAGCACATCAACCCATAAAATTAAGATTTTTATTTTATGGGCTCTCAGTGAAAAACAACACACTCTTAAAGTTTCTTCGTCATTGATAAAACTTGAATAAGTTGTAAATAGATATTCTTCTACTGTATGTTTAGAAATCAATCTTAGCTAGTGAAAGTTTACAAAAAGATATGCAATAGAATGAAGATATCTGCTTATGAAATAGCTTACTTTATTTGCCTTGAGGTCATCTGCAAAAAGTCCTGCTGTTTCATCGTCTATTCCATTCTTATACAAGATTATTTTTTTCATTTTCTGCAATAAAAAGAAACAAAAAATTGTTAGAATTTTAAATCGAACGATGTTTATTATTCATCATCATGTACTCCATTGTATTTCTATTTTGTTATTTTGATAGTGAACAGAAATTTTGAATATATTACAAAGAGAACTCATGTTTACATAACAGTCAGTTTGAAAATTTATATACTTTTAGTTCTCTTGCGTCTTTAAGAAGTCAGTTTCGTTAGAATGACAAACAATATAAATCACTAATGCAAAAATGAGTCTTCTGGAGATTAATGTAACTCAACTAATCTGTATCACTTAAGAGATAATGTTCTTCTGTTTAGCAACAGTAAATGTTGTTTATTTGATTACATCGTGTATGCTTTTATTTATTAACTATATTAATTTTCACTACTATTGCCTGTTTCTATATAGTTTAGAAATAACGCTAAGAAATTGATCATGTTATATTATTTTACATCTTCTTGGAACAATTATGTTAAAATCTTTCGTTGATAAAAGCTTTCTAGTATTAACAAATTATCATCAAATAGTGATATTTCGTCAAATACTTGTTTTGGTTTTGTTTTGAATGGATGGGAAAATGTCGAAAACAAAAATATAGTATGAAAATGAACTAGTAAGATGGACAATGAGGGTGAGAAGATCGGCATTTCAATGTACTCTAGTTTTCATAAATTACAATCATCTATATTTCGACTCTTTTTAATTTCGACATTTTACTCTTTCGATATTTTTCCTTTCTGCCTTTTCCACCATACCGTTTTTTTAATATCGTCTAATACTTGATTTAAATGAAGATTTAACACACGATGATATTGAAAGATTTTGTTATCATTCAAGCTGATTATTAAATGTTTTATTAACAACAAAAAATCATCATCTTATCTTGCTCAACATCATACATATTTCAATATAATGTACTCATCGAATAATATGTATTTTATACAACATGATAAAATTAATGAATGAAAATTCTCCGATCAACCAATACTTCTGCATTTGTATAGTGGTGAATTTATTTTTGATGATAATGATACGTATTGTTGTTCTGAAACAGCTTAATAATGTATTAATATTTCATGTTGATTTTCATCTTTCATCGAAACATTCTCTTGCAGAAATCATTGCAAATGTTACGGATGTATATCAACTTGATGTTGATTCGAATATTTATGATCAATTGATTAAAATGTATGATTCATCAGATGCAATACTTTGGATTTATCTTTTACAATGAATTGTCACTAATAATAAATCTGCTTCACAAGATATTGTTTTATATTCTCCATTGTGTAATCTACTATATACAGATGGGGCGGGGGGGGGGGGGGGG